CTTTTGGGATCCCTTGTCCTCCTTTCCTGCACACTAATTTTCCCTGGTGGCTTGATAGAACCAATACAACAGAAGGTTTTTCCTCCTTCCTCCCTCTCATCTGGATCTTTATCTTTTTATAGCTTCTTCCATGGAGCTTGTCTCAACTCTTTGTGGACTGATGGTCCCCAGAAGAATTGACCCTTCATATCAATATTTTTGACCTCTTTGCAAGTCATTGGGCTTTGGATAATTTTCTTACAGTTCTGAGAGGTCATTTGGTATTGTTCCGTATGGACAATTCAACCTACATCAGTCGTCAGTATCACTTTCTGTGTTTCCACACCCTTAATATTCTCTTCTGGACCCATTTTCTACAAGTCTGTTTGGTGGATTGCTAAGTTCTGGGCACCTTGAATATTGTTGAGGATTGTCTCTTAAAACCTGACAAGATATTTCACATGGAGTGGCCCCCAATCCTCTGGATTTCAGTGGCTTTGCTCTCATATGGGCACCCCCTTATATTGATGTCTTTCCTATTTATGACAGTGCCAAGCTGTCCCTTTGCTGGTCTCCTGTTCTGCATCGATTGGTCCTGGTAATGGATGCATTCAGTCAGGACTAGTCCAACCTCCATCTTTATGCTTACCCCCTATTTGTCTCCTCCCTCATGTTCTCTCCTTCATGCAAGCCACTCGATGTCAGATCCTTCATGTGGTACCCTATTGACTGGTTCAAAGGGTTTCCTTTGTTAAGCCTTCTACAGTCCCCCCCCCCACTCTTCCTCTCTCTTGCTCTTTCCTTCTTCAGCCACATTCTTCTCTCTTCCATCCAGTTCTGTTATCACTTCAAATTCATGAGTAGGTCCCTTTCGAGATGTTTCATACACTTTTTGTGTGTAGCCTTCATTTCTTCCCATTGTGTTTGACCATTCTACCCTCCTTGTATATCAGTGGAAGTATCATATTTTTAACAGTTGGTCACTGCATCATTCTTTCTCCCTTTCTCATTCTTCTGTTCTTCATCTATTTGAATTCTTCACATGGCTTTCCAACCAGGGATTATAGGTATTGGTTATTGCTGGTTACCAGGCAGCTTTCTCTACTACTTTCCAGTTTTCTCATTACCATTGATTTTCCCTTCATGGTTATTACTGTGATCTTCCTTTCCTTTCATCACCTTTGTCCTTCCCATCTGGGACCTTAATATTGATTTCCATGCCCTGACACTCCCTCCCTTTGAACCTTTTTCTTCCTGTTTCTTGTATTATCTCTCCCTTAAAATTTATTTCCTCCTCCTTTTCACCTGTGATCATCTTTGTTCTGACGTGTATGCCATTGATTCTCCATGCATTCTTTTTCATTGTCTCTATGCCCTTCTCTATTCTAATCATGCTTTTCTCTCTATATGACACTTCCCTTATTTACAGATAAAGAGTGTACCCTGGTATAGACGAGGTGCAGTCTATGCTGCCACTATACTGTTCCAGTGTTTCAGAGTGTCACACTCCATGGGTTTCCTTCAGGCACTTCCTGAAGGGACCTCATCTAGGTAAATTTTTGCACTTAAGTGTGGGATTCTAACTATCAATGAGAGGAGGTTATGCATTATATCAGAAGTTAATATTTTCCAACACAATGCAGCAATATCATGTGAAAACACAAGAGAGTGGGTGAGAGCCTCATGGCTAGTGGCAAGTGAAAAATGTGTATATAGAGGGCAGCACTGAATCAGGAAAGCTATATGTGAAAAGAGGTGAGTATCTATTGGAAATACATTTTCAGTGTTGGAAAATGTTAACTTTAGGACCAATGGTTAATTGTAACATCAGAACTAAGAAAGTTGTTTACATTTTAGTTTATTAGTTAATAATTGAAAAATAATTTATGAACATAGCTTTATGTTTGTTTTAAAAATGCTTTATGTGTATTTGATGTGTCTTAAAGTTGGTCAGCCAGTAATATTCATCCAGTACACTGTAGTCATATATTTAAATAAAGTTGGATTGTTTATCATTAAGTTGATTGTCTTTTGATTTGATTGATTTTGTTGTTATTAATATTATTTATGAGATTGAAATATTTATTATGAAGTCATATTTTCACTGAGTTCAGGTCCATAGAAAACATTTTGTAAGTGGCTCTGTATAGCAGTGAATTCATTGCATAAAGAATAAAAAACTCGCATAGGATAAAAGAGGCACAGCCATGGCCATATTATCTGCAATGGTTTCTACAGTCTTCACTGACTTGATACTACATGATTAAAAAGTAACTTGTATGTAATGAGCATAAACCAAGGTGTAGAATGAATTTGGGAAAGTTTAACAATATTTGTTGCTGAGGCATATATATATATATCATAACTTAGAATTTTATGTTAAGAACTTTTTTAATAGACATGTAGATTTCAAGAAAAAACTGGGAATAAAAAATTTAATATTTTATTCATTACATAAATATAATCTTTTTCTGTAATATTGATTATTCTTAAAGAGAAGTATCCAGTTCTAAAATTTAAATGTTCAAATATTTCTTTTTCATTCCTTATTTTTAGAAACGTATTTCTTAAAGGTCAGATTGAAAGCTTACAAAAAGAAATTGTCAAGGTAAAAACAGAACTAAACCAAGAATCAAACACCAAAAGAAGGCATTCTCATGCTAGCTATCAATCCCCGCAGGTGCTACATATGACCATTAAGAATTTGGAACAGGAGTTGGTAGAGGAGAAAAGCAGACACAACAGTTACCAAATCCGTAGTCAAGATGAAATAAAGAATTTGAAAAATAAAGTATGTTAAATTACACTGGAGCAAAGTATGGTTTTGAATAATCCATGATTTCATTGGATTAAAAGCATCTCATTAAAAAAAAAAGAACTTAAACAGTAGGTGCTATCATAACAATTTATTGTAAACATTTACAAGTTTGTAAATTATTTTTATTGTCCTTATGTTAATACAAATGTACACCTGTTCACAAATGTAAACCTGTCCAGGTTATCAACAGAAATAAGGTCACAATTTGATAAAAATCGAGAGCTTCCAGATGCTTAGCCCGTCTGAGATGCCATTGGAGGGTTATCTCAATATACTTTTGGGAACCCTAGCAGGCCCTAAACCTTGGCCACCATACAACTGTTTTTTAAAACCTTGCTTATATATCTCTCCAAATCAACAAATGTTTAATCATCTTACCTAGTGATGGAATTGGGTAAAAATGCTGTGGTAGAAGTGAAAATGTGACTGTATTCTGTTTTTTTTTATTTTATTTGTTTACATTAATTACTACTTTGGTTTAAACTTTTTTGGTAGTTATTGAACAGATTTTATAAAAGAACTTCTAAAATATGGCTTCTCTCTGTTGTTAGAGCTGAGCAATTTAATCTGTTACCAATATGAGCAGCAATTACATTGATTAGTGTCATTTAAACTGATGAATTAATTGAAGTTATGATTTAATCTATTTATCAAAGTTATGATTAGATTAATTGTCTTGAATATAATTGTTTAATTGGAATTAGGGTTTACGATTATTCCAACCATCCAAGTAATGGAATTGGTGTCACCAATCTTACTCAACCTGTCTTTATTATAATAGACCTTAAGGATATTTTCCATTTGCATATATATCATAAACTAAATTAAATCATGTTTATAGTAGGCCTCCTTCGGCCAGGTTTGACCATGGATGAGCATCCGTCCATTATTTGATATGGACGGATGTAAGCCTGGGCATCCTGATATGGGGGACAGGCTGTTGTAAATCATGTTTAATACTTTATTAAATAACAGCTAACCCTACAAGCTTTTTATAAAGTTTAAAACAATATTTTATTACATGGAAATACATTTGCAACCAAAATGCATAATAATAGGTTTTGGTAGAAATGTGTATGATATTATATCACTATAGGACTGATAATAATTTAAATCCCATCATTCTCTACTGGCCAAGAAATAGGATTACAATAAGAAGTGTTTATAATACCATTTCAGTTATATCTCATTTTACAAAGAGGCCTTTTTCTTAGTATCAGAGCCAGTACAAAGTGAAATGATTTAACTTGTTATTAGCAGAAATGGTGTTGAAACCAATATTTGACATGTTGAGACCAAGACCAGCATGGTTTTCCTAAGACCAACCTTTAAAAAGTGTGATCTTATCAGATTTTCATTTTATAGCCTTCATTTTTATTTACCGGTATTAATTATCTGCTATTACTCAATGATTCATACTGGTGTTCAAACATAGCTTTTTGCTGTTATAAATGTACCTGTAGACCAGCATACATGGCTTAAACAGTGCCCATTAAAAAAAAAAATAGCCCTTTTCAAAGAGAGTATTTATTTCAACACAAACGTTAAACCTTGAAAAGATAGAAGTTCTTACTTCTGACAGGGTTGTATTGAACTTGCATTTTGTTGTTTTTCTCAATATTGCTGAAGTTAAATTGATCCGTTACTAGTTGTTTGAGTACCATTATATTAATTCTAATTATTTAATGTTCAAGCAGGTTACCATCTACAACTAACAATAAAATTAAGCTGGAAATTTGTTGTGGTGCATGATGTAAATCAGTTTCCATGCTATATAAACAACCTACACAGAAACTAGGACAAAACAAAAACAGATGGGAAGATATAATATTAAATATTTTTTTAATTTGGAAAACAAATGATGATATGGTATAATATTCTAATTACTGAGACCTCGCATGCTGAGGCAGATACCAAAATCGAGATCAAGACCTCTTCAGTTATGATCTGGTACCTTGTTTCAAGGTCCCATCTCTGATTGTTAATGTTAATGTGATGTAATATCACACACACACATATATTACTTATGAATGTTATACTTTACTAGCTGATGCATACTACATTCTAAGTCTCACCATTTATGTTTTTGCTCTTATATGTATATAGGTGGAAATCTTAAAAGCTCGTGAAAAGGTCTTGAAGACAGAATGTCAAAGCCTGAACGAAGAATTGAATGTGTTAAAGAAAAAGTAAACCATTTTTCTAGTTTATTTTTGATATTCCTGTTTCAAAATCCATCATGTATTGAAATGAAAATTAACTTGAATTTCACTTGAAACTTTAAAAAATTTAAATGAAGTTTTATATTAAAATACAATGTTATTATTTGATGGCTACTGAGTGAATTGAGTTACTGCTTATTTAAGATTGTTCCTTTTCTGTGACCATGTAATACGTTGTCACGAAACTCTGTGATTTCTTCCTCTAATATTATTTAGTAATTTTGCATTAGTACACACTCCAGGTTCATATTGCTTTAGTGATTGTTTTATTATGTTGCATTTCTGAGGCTTTTTGCTATTTTGTGCTTCACTGGTGCTTTTAATTATCCTTTTATGTGCATTGCAAAGAGACATTACCCTATGTTACACAACATGTTTAAAGTGAGTAGAACAAGTTGTGAACTACCATTCTGCAGAAATATCCAGTAAATGTAAAATTCTGTCTTAATAAACATTTATATTATTAAGATTCTAAATCTCTTCATGCTTGTTTTCAGAACACTGTGTATAAACATCCATATTCTGTGCAAGTCGTATACTGTTGTGTAGGAGCTAATACAATAAACTGACAGAAGGAACTGGAAATACTTACAGTATTGTCCATCAATGTGATTTATTTAGAAGTTCCGTTTATTTAACTTAGAGCTTAAGAAAAATAATTGGTTATCCTTTTATCTATGTACCTGTAATTAAAACATGTTCAAAGTAATACAGAAAAAGTTAACATGCTTTTAAAAATGTATATTATATTCAAACACAAGAATGTACCTCATCCATAATCTGTTAACTATTCTCTTGAATAATTGCATGGATAGACTTGTTTGATTTTTTTTATAACTGCTATTTTGCACATTTGTTTCTTAGAAGTTGCCTAATTTTTTTAAGTTTTGTGCAGTGAGGCATTTTCACTCTGTTTTTTTTAATCACTATTTATTTGAAATATGACAGTTATCATTAATTCAGATGGGTCTTTTAATTTCTTTGAAGACTTTTAGTCGAGTACAGCTTGTATTATTTCTTAAATTTCTCTCATGTAGTATTCTAGCTTGAAGTTTTAATGCGACCCATTCAGACTGGAGTTTGATAGCTTGATTTTATTAGTTTCAAAGTGAGTTCCTCATCATTAAATCTAGTCTTATTCTAGGTTTTAACTTCATGCACTGCCTCCAGGGTTTCAGGCATTCTAGAAAGTAATGTCCAACACATTAGATGTTGTAGATTGCTTCTGCTGTATTTTTTCAAATCTCTTTTTGAAACTTTAGAACATTTTATTTTTAACTTCAGGTTCAATGGATTCCTACCTACTATAGCTGTAGCCTCCTGATGAAAAAGTGTGTATCTGGCAACACTCATTAACTGTACGCACTATTGTCAAAGTGATCTGGTCTTTTCCACACACAACTTCCTTGGGGACGAGTTGTTGTCACTTCTGGGTCTTTGCAGACATCTGCTAGATGAATATGAATTAGCTGATCAGGCTAAAACCTTTGATTTTCTTTGCTCTGTATACACCTATCCATGTTGGAAGCTTTTACTTCCTTAATACTTGATAGTGTCAGATTATGTTCATGGGAATGCTGTTTTTGCTGCATCATTTTACCTGCTAGATTGATATAGTTTCTGGAGATGTCTCTTCATATTGGGGCTTATATTGTCTTGTAATTTGTTGTGGGTCTAGTAGTGGAGTTTAAGGGACTTCATAGAGCTCCATCTTACTCCCAACACCCAACCCACTCTTCCATAAAGTTGGAACTGTGGAGCCATGCTCCTGGCCATCTGATGCCTTGATGATGACTTGCTTTTATAGCTTGTATCATTTGTCCCTTGATTTAATTTCTTCTCCAGGAGTGACATGCACTTCTCTGCTTCAGAAACACTACTCATTTCTCTGTACAACAAAGAGCTATTACCTCTCGCCACTGTTTTAGAAATTTTGTCACATGCCACAAGCCTTGAATGAAGCTGCTACCCCTATGTGTGTTAATATGTATTGAACAAAGACTTATTCTTTCCTTGGCACTGTTTGGTCTTTAGACATGTTTAATGTGTCTTTTTTGAAATTCTGGCATTACGTTTCATTATTAACTTTCAGTTAAATTTTATAGGCTCAAGTTCTTTGTATGAGAGTCTTTCTTACTCTCAATTTCACTTATTACTACTCTACATACTAAAAAAATATTGTGAATTGATTTTGACCATGAAAACCCAGATACATGTTTCTGCTATTTCCTGAGGACTTGATATTCCACTTCAGGAATCTACTCCTGCAGTTTTAATGGTGACTAGAGGCACTCTGATAGTGATTTTACCACCATTGTGCACAGAGTGGTTGGTTCTATTCTGCCTTCTTCATCCTTGATTCAAGTTTTTCAGCTTCCTGTTTTTGTTGCTTTAGCTGAGGCTGCCTTTTTTCTTCTTTAATAATTTTGACCAGCTGTTCCCACTGCCTGTCTTTGCTTTTGTTTCTTCTTTTCCTGATGAGGAACAGGTAACCCTACCTTTATTATTTGCTGCTTTCATATACCCAGGTATATAATATTCTTTCTCTATTTGTATTTGACGAGTCTTAAGCTGCATTGTTGCATGAGCCTCCATCTTGTGATTATCTCTTCTTTCATCCTTCCCTTGACATTCATGTTTATGCGAATACTATTTTGTCTGAGTTTTGCATTGTCTGCAAACAACCTTGTCCTTCTCATTTTCATGACACTTTTTTTCTATGGAGTATGGTCAAGATATGTCTACTTTCCTTGAGATTCAGTTTCTCGAATCTCTCCTTTTAACTTGCAGTTCTTCCTTCTCCTACTTTCTTACTCATTTTTAATCTGTTTGTCTTCATCTTTCTCTTACTCAGTTCCTTCTCAGTTTGTCTACACTTCATCTTCTCTCAGAGGATCTACATTACAACCGTGATAATTTTGTTGTGGACATTCACTCCTACTTATTCACCACTTGGCTTTAATCTCTTTTTAATTTTGGCAGTGTCCCAGTTGACTTGGTTTTGTTGTGTCTGTAATTTGCTTGGTCAGGATACCTTACTTTTTGGTGTTTACATCCTTTCTTATTATCTTATGGACTACTATCTAGCTCCCTTCCTTTGAAACAAAGCCTTTATAGATGTTCTTTACTTTTTATTCACCCAAGCTAAGGATGCTTATCAGGAGTCTTCCCCGATTTGTTTGGTTTCCTGAATTTCTTGATCCTGGAGGCCCCAACAGTTTTCTCATCTTCGAGTCTCATGAGGTTGCCCCCTCTCCTGTTCCTCATCCTCTTGCTCCTTATCTATGTCCCTTTTTTCATAGGGCTAGCTGTCATAAATCACAGATCATGGTGACTTACCTTGGGATCTAGCTCTCACCTCTACTCCCCCTCTTTGTGCATCTGTGTGCTGTCTTTGTAGATGATCATTAGTTCACACAGGTGGTTTCTCTGGACTTTCCTAGTTATTTTGCACACAGTCTCCTCTTTGTACTTTTCCGGTTGTCTCTCAGCCCCTTTCAGATCCTGTGGTTCTTTAGCATCTCAAGGAGGCTAGTTCTTCTGTAAAGGCTACTCCTGTCTTTTTGTAATTCCGTAGAAGACTGGAAATTGGCATAGATCTCTAATCCTTGAATCAATTTATTGTTGTTCATGATGGATGGTTTTTCTTAATTTAAGGTAGGTGTTTACTCCCAGGTTTGATGATGACAAAAGTTCATGTTATGGATACCTTTCTCCACATCCTGATTTGTCTGTCTGCCTGTTATCTTCTCTGGTGTTTCCATGGTAATCAGATTTTTCACTTTGAACTCTTCCATTTTGAGTTAATCATGGCTCTGTATGTTTTTGATCAGGTAATAAGAGCATTTCCTTAGCAGATACATTCCTTAGATTTCCATTTTTTGTACTGTATGGATGACTAGCTTTCTTGCTCCATCTCAAGAATTTTCCATTGCAGTGTTCTGCTCCTTCAGGGGCACTTTATTTAGGTTGGCTGTTCAATTTCTCCAAATTTCTTTTGACCCCCATTAATTATGTAGCTCACCTAGGAGTCTTTTTCAACTTGCGTGTGGGGTGGGCTCGGCTATTTCTTTCACATCTTTATAATATGGAGCTTCTTGTTTCTAAGGTTCTCATGACTTTTACTGCATGACAAGTTCTGTCACTTTTGGAAGTAGAGTTACTTGTGCCTGTTGTTAATCTTGAGCATGCCCGTGTGCATCCATCTTAGTGGAACCTTTCCATTTAATGGAATATACATAGAAAGATTTCCTGTCATCTCTTGTGTTTTTCCATCCATCTCTTCATCTCTCACTGTCATTGTGGCTCAATAGCTTGAATCATAGGCATTCCTCTTCCCCCACCATACCCAAACCTGTATCTCTTTACCAATGCCTCTCTTTTTGGGTGGAGACAGCTTTGGACACCTGCATTCTTTGCTTGGTATGGTCTTCAGAGGACTAGTTCTTTCATATCAACATTTTGTAGTTATTAGCTGCTCATCAAGCTTGGTGTCATCTTCAGTTTCATCTTTCTAGTCATCTTGTGATGATTCATTAAAATCCATTGTCATGTGTTAGATCAGCCAACAGGGAGGTACTTGATCTTGGAATCTCTGCTTTCTAGGTTTGTACTTTCTTTTTAAGCCCACAACCCATATATGGTTGTTGGCTTGTTACTTCTTGGGAGCTTTGAACCTGAAGGTGCATCAACTATCTCATTTTGTACAGATCATTTACATCTCTCCACCTGCTGATTTTTCAGTAGCTTTATTTTCCCTTTGCTAATTCTCTCACCAATGCCTCTGCAACTCCCCTCAACAGTAAGCTTTATCATCTTTTCTGGTCACCAATTCTAGACTTTCCAACTCTAGTAGTAAGATGCTTTAAGCCAGAAGTGGACCAATATCTTTAGCTTTGCATATCTTCTTTTTTTACTTCTTCACAGGCTTCTATCTTTTACTCATGACATCCCGTCGGGTTCTTCTTATTGGTCCTCTTGGCCATCTCAGTCAAGGTTTCCACTCCTGCACCTCTTGACATCCTGAGAGCCTTCCATGTTGGAAGTCCCTTTTATATCAGCCCTAGTTGTCTGCCTTTCACCACAGGATGTTGCACCTTCATCTTCATGCTTGGGATTTGTCTGGTCTCTTACATAAAGGGAGGCTTTTCTTGCATAGTATCCAATTTTCTGACTTGTTCTTGCTGGTCATCCACTATTGCACTTTATCTATGCAAATGGATGATTTAATACTGCTGGTCCATTCATTACTTCCTTCTTTGAAGTCATCCTATTCTCCTTCATCTCACTTCCTTCCTTCCTTTTTACCTGGCTTTTTGAAAGTGGTTAATCTATTTCTACTCTCATCAGTTGTAGGGTGGTTTTGTCATTGACCCTCTGTATGTTCCCCAGTTCTTTTCCTTTCCCTCTCTCCAATTATTAGGACATCTTCCCAAGTTTTTCTCCTTGGTTATCCTCTTGATCTAGACTGTGAATTCTGTGTTGTTCTCCAGACCTTTACATGATCTTTGTTCAAATCTTTCCTTAAAGGTATATTTTCTCCTTCTTCTTGCTTGCAGGAAATATCACTGTGAAATTTGTCTCGCATGCCTCCTGCATACAATATCAAAGGGATAAGTTGATTATATTCCTGAACCACTTTTTTCTTCCTAGTACTTCGGCTGCCCAGGAGGGTGATGAGATTTTTTTTTAAACACTCCCACTTCTTTATACAATCATTCCAAATCCTGATCATCTTTTTTGGGTCTTGTTTCTCATCCTCTCAAAATTTATCACCTTCCACTTTTCAGTTTGTTCTTCCATGGGAGAGGACATCTGTCAACTTTATCAGATAACCTTCCATCAGGTTTATTATTTCACAACTTTTCTCATCATCAACATTCCTTGGATAACATCTTGCATTCAGGTATGTGGGTACCAGGTACGTATCTGCCCTCACACCTTTCCAGGGCCTGCTGTCCTTAGCTGTGGTAACCCATTGAACAGTGTTAAACCCATCTGCTCTTGCTCCATGCCTGCTGTTGAGATGGATTTTTTCCACAAGAGTGCTTTGGCAGTGTGTATATATATTTTATCATCTAGGTTATACTTCATAGGAATAAAACTCGACAGCACCAAGTACATAACTGCCCTCACACTTTTCCAGGCCTTGCTATCCTTAGCTGTGGTAACCCATTGCACAGTCTATCAGTACGGGACCATATGTAAGTTTGATTTTCCCTGCTTGGGCCAAGCACTTATCCAGCATTCCTTCTACACAAATGACTCCCTTAAATTTTCTTTTAGTTAAATATGGGAGAACCCTTTCTACTCCAGTTCTAAGCCACTGGGAGGGTTGATATAGAGTTTTCCATTGGGATGTTGTAATTCCACTGATATGAGATTGAGTCAATGCACCACTCAAAGAGAAATAGAGCTGTGAGTGATGTAGGTTGGGAATACTCTCTCTCTGCAAGTTATTATTCAGGTAATATCTTGCATGAGTATTTCTTCAGCATGGAACATTTTGACTTATTGCCCTAGCTATACTACACACTCATGCTGTGTTGACAGCTTTTGAGATAATGCCGGTTGAGCATTTTTACATTCCACCCACCTATGCAATACTTTATAACCTTGCAGAAGATTCTTTTTCCATCTTTAGCTGTACTACCCTTCTTGAGCAAATCGTATTCCCTGCTTGAAATGGATGCAGTCTCTCACCAAGTGATGCCCCTCTAGACTACCTCCCATCCTTTAGTGGGTAACAAGCTCCATAGGGCTGTTCTTTCTGATGCTATGTTTTCAGAAAGGAGCCTGTGTTTATAATTTCTCTATCTACACCAGCCCCTCAACCACCTTCATTGTGGGATTCTTACTCTTCATTATGCAGAGATGAGTAGTACTTTAGAATTTAATGTTTTCCTTACCTGAAAGTGTATTTGATATAGATACTCACTTCTCTGTGCAACCTCCAACATTTCCTCCCCATTTCTGTGTAATTTCTTTCTCTTATTAAGAATGAGCCTTTGTTCAAATGCTAGTGCTCATGGGGATTACTGCACATGGAGTGATGTGCCACCCTCCTATTGGTGAAGCACTATAGTCTAATGATGATTACATGATAAGCTGAATGCAATATATGTTAACAAGTGTGGGGGTGTGCATTTTATTCAAGACTTGTGGTTTGTGCAGCACTTTCATTGTAGTGTATCAGGTAGTAATTCTTTGTTGTCCAGAGAGGTAAGTATCTGACTGAAATACATTTTCAGGCAAAGAAAATTTTAACTTTCTATAGTCTCAACTTCATATATATGTGTGAGAATTATAGATGAAAAAAGTTATTAAATAGTTAAGTTTTATGTTTGAAATTATGATTGCTATTCTAAAATAAAGCTGAAATAATTTTTTTGGTATTCAAGCTTACTAGATGTTTCCTAGCCCTTTATTTAGTATAAAATGTTTCAAAATTCCTCCAAATATTTTGTATTTTTGGTTAATATAAAATGTCTGCCAAGGGAGCTACTGAGTTGCTCTCATTCTAATTAACTATTGATGCATCATTCAACTAGATTGTAACATGCACTTTCTTATGAAAAAGATTCCTATAAGTTTGAGCATACTGTATAGAAATAGTGATCTTTTCCACTGGCAAGTTGGGTGATACTCCAGGTAACAATACCCTTTAATTTATAGTGAGAGTAACCATCAGTCACATGGGTAGTACGTGCACCCTGAGAAGAATGATATTGATTTTGGTATAAAATGCCATATTTTCTCAGTCTGAAACATGATTGACTTGAGTAAAATTTACAGATACATTTAATGATATTTTAGCTCTCCAGTAATGACAAGCTTCCTTCTTTCTGTGGCTCCTATCCGGATTACTCTAAGGGAAGTCACTGATCTTGAGAATACCACACCCATTGTTGTCCTCAACCCCTCCACTGCAACCTCTGCATCACAACCATAAAATGTACTGTGAAAAATGTACCAAGACAAAAATAGTCAGGAGGGGGATATCAGCCCAAGTGTGGGAAATAGGTGTGCCATTTATGAGTATCACTTGTTTATTTAGATCTAACTTTTTGTATTCTTGTTTCAATGTTTAGGATACCAAGTAAAAAAGATATAGCTTTCCATAAGCAATATGAGCTTAAAGCTCTCAGAGAATCTAGAAGCCTGAAGTTGCCACAGACAGAGGGACGACACTTGCAGTACCCTACAGAAAGAACTCTATCCTGGTCTGATCCTCGCAGGAGGAGGAGTAAGTCAGAACAAACTTATGTGAGATCATTGTCACCCAGTAGTGCAGGTTCTCGAAACTCAAGAAAGGATTATCATTTACATGAGGGTAGGTGTTCAGATCCTGTTCCTGCTGTTTTTCGTACTCAGGTGTGTTACTGCAAATACCTTTTGACATTTACCACTTGTTTATAATGAAAAGCTTTTCACGATCTTCAACGAATATCTGTTGGTAAAGATTTGTAATATAATCACCAGCTTTTCGTGTTTGATCATTGACCCCAGTAAGCTGTCAAATAACCCTGAGCTAATTAGCTAAAAGAATCTCTCAGCAGTAACTTGTATAACAAAGCCACAAACCTAAGATTCAGTTTAAAAATATTTATATAATGAGTAGTATTGATTACAAAACTTGATTTCACTCTTAATTAATTACTTTATTTTTTATGTGATGGTATTTTGGTGATAAATTGGGTTGTTCTCACTGTAAAGACCACCAGTATTTTAAGACTAAAGAGTATTTAATTGTGCACATATATTGTAAAGAAATGTTTTTAGGAAATTACTTATTAAATAATTGTCATTTATTTTTTGGTGTTTATTACCTGTATACATCTTTTCAGTAATCCAATCACTCTTTACTCTCTTATCTCATTCACTAATGTATTTAGAATATTGCCTCAACTTTCTGTTAATTGTTTTAAAAATGTAAAAGTAGGTTTCTTAGCTTTCATGCTCATTTTATAATTTTCTTTGATGTTTTCTACCAAAATCCAATGGCTAGCTTATTATCTTTTAATTTCATAATTCAAAATTTGTTATAACAGTTATTGAAGTTATCATAGTTTTATTTATATTTTTGTTGAATATTTTAATGTGAAATACATAGTTCATGTGGAAAAATCAGCCTTGTCCTGCTTAAAACTAATATTAGTTTTTTTAGCTAAAAAATAACTAGACTAAATTCTTAATTTTTTGGCATTCTTTTTTAATATTGGTAATTTTAGTTTCCACATTTTCATTACATTATATATTTGTATTATGGTGTTCAACCCCACTTAAAAGTTTGTGTGTTACATTAATATACACAACTGTTCTTTGGTGTTATTTATTTTTATAGAGTGCTATGCTTTTAAAGCCTGCCTGTATTCTCTCTAGGCTAAATTTATGTTAAAGGTCTGGCTATTATTTTTAAGTTATGAAACAGCTGATGGTTTGGGATACCTTTTAATTTTAAATTACTGCTTTCTTGTACTGCCTTGTCAAAAATGTATATATTCACGCTTGTACACTACCATGTACCTACTTTTACATCTTGAAATACAAAGCAACAAAACATATATTTTGAAATGATATCTCATCTCTTTACACAAAATAACTTCATTCCTGACACGTCTGCCTATGAAATTTGCATGCCACTAGCCTTGAACTAACTCCTACCTAAAAATCATGGGTTTAACATGTGCATGATGACATCAGCATGTTACAATAGCCCTCCACTAATAGAAGGGCAACACAATCTCCTTGTGCAGTAATTCCCCTTAAGCACATGCACTCAAGATAACTTCATTCTTTTCCTTGGTATTGTCTAGAATAGATGTGTTTTTTTAAGCATATTAATCAATTATGTGAGATTTATGGCTTCTTTTTTTACTAAAGAAAAAACTTCCCAGCTTTCTTCTACTTCCCAGATGTCAAGATTGTCACTCGTTTAATCAGTGACTATCCTTTCCGGTCTGACCTTGTGGGGCCCATCTTTTTCTCTTTGCCAGCCTTTGGTCTCCATTTTTCCAATAAATGGGTTCTTCAGGTTCTCACCCACAGCCTATCTCTCCACTTCTCTTCACCCCTTCCCTTTTCTATTTTCTTTCCTCCTTCCTCTATTTCTCTTTATCTTCAGCATCTTGAGGATATAGTCTCTGATCTCTTGGCCAAGAATACCATCAATAGGGTATTTACCCCTACACCTGGTTATTACTCATGTTTTTTTTTTGTTGTTGTTGTCTCCAAGATGACTGGGAACTGGCTTCTGGTTATTGATCTGTCCCCTGAGTTGGATTTTTATCATCCCTTGGTTCTTTATGGAGAGTTTTTTTTCTCTCTCTCCATTGGTTCTTTTCACCTGGACTGTGGATGACCAAGGTCAATGTTTTGGACACCTGTTTACACATTCCGATTACCATGTTCTCCAGCTGTTTCCTTTGTTTCTTGGATCTTCCAGCTATGTGCTCTTCCTTTGGGCATTGTATCTGCTCCATATGTCTGTCTTCAAGCCAGGCGGGGCATTTGTCTTTTCTTGTTCGTGGATTAGGGCTAAGGTTTCATTATTACATGGATGATTGGCTTCTTGGCCCTTCTCAAGAGTACCCCAACTCTCACACCTGCATTCTTCTGCCTGAGGTTGCTTGGCTGTTTATGTTATCATGGCAAGCCTTCCTAGTTTTTTCCCATGCTCCTTCTATATATGGTTCATATGAGTGTGTTCTTCACCTCCCATCTCAGTCAGGCTCAACCTTCATCACTTTGCTAATGAACAATGGAATATCTTGTCCCCATCTCTTTCCCATCTTCTGCACAAGGTTCTTTTGCTTTTGGGAACTCTGGCTTCCCTTATACCACTCATTCATTCAGGCTGCACACACATGTGCCTCATCTGGTTGAAATTACAAGACTGATGGAACCTTTTTCAGGATCCGTTGTCTTCAAGTGTGCACCTGCCTTCTCTTCTCAAAGATTTGTCTTTGTAGCTCTTTACCAACTGCATCTCCATTTCTTCACAGATACCTAACTGTTGAGCTGGGGGGTTGTCTTTGAACAACTACATAACTTTGGTGTGTGGACTCAAGGGGAATGGTTGCTACACATCAACATCCTCAAACTTCTTGCTGTCCATCAGTCATTTTCTCATTTCCTTCCTTTTTCTTCTGGTTCAGTTGGTCATGATCCATTCTGACAAATCCACAGTCAATTTTTGTATATTGGTCATCAGTGAGAGTACCCAATGCAGACACTCTGCTTCCACACATTGGATCCTCTATTTTGGTCTTATGCCCATTGAGTTCGTCTTGGGGTTTGTCAGTTACCAAAGGCTCTGAATTTGGTGGATTGCCTCTCTCAGTTGGACATGGTTCTAATCATGGAGTCATGTTTATACATTCAGGTTTTTCATTGGGTTTGCTTGGTTGGGCTCACATCTTACCAACTCCTTTGCCACTCTTCACACCAGACTTTCCCTCTTTGGGTTGCCAGTTCCTCATCCTTTGGCTCTGGCATTGGTACTCTCATCCTGTATTGGTCTCACCTTTTACTGTTTTCCAATCTTCATATTCCTCCTCACTCTTGTGTCATGGAGTTGATATGTGACATTCCTTGTCAGGTCCTGTTCATGATGGCTCTTTGGTCAGCCCTACCCTAATTTCCTCTGCTTCGTTGATTGACATCTGGTCCCCCCCCCCCCACTTCCTCTGCCTCATTTCCACACTCTCTTGCTCCAACTACATTTCTCTTTCACCCTGGGATGTTGTCACTTCATCTTCTCATGTGGGATTTGTCTAGTCCATTGCCCACAAGACTGGACGCTGATCATGTAGCCATTTTTTTATCCCTTTCTTGTCATCCTTTAACTCTATTTGGCTATCAACAGCAGTGGCAAGTTTTTCAAGATCAGTCCTTCAGCTTCTATTTCTCTGGACCATTCTCTTATGGCCCACTTTTCAGCCCCTTTTTTCCCATGGTGGTTCAACTGGGAATTCTGAGTTTCCACTATTGATGGCTTTACCAACTAAATTTCATCTTTACTGTTACTATCAGGTTTTTATTCTCCTGTCTTCTCCTTTCTTTTTTTCCAAATCCCTCATCCTACTCACATGCTAGACATGGTTTTGACATAGTTTTCCATGCTCTTACACATGCTACATTCAAGCTGCTGTCTTTGTGTTCATTATACTTTCTTTCTCTTAAGCCATGTTTCTTCTTCTTCTTCTTATCTCTGGTTACTGCTAATCAGTTGTATATGCCATCAGTGCTTCCTGCATTCTCTTCCACCACAATTCCTTCCTATATTCAGACTGTGCCTTTTTTTCTAAGACTTTGGCTACTCAGAAAGGCAATCATTTTTTCACATTTCATTACATCTAATTCGTCAGTTGTCTCACTCTTGTGACCCATTTTCATTGACCCTTGGATGATATCCTTCAAGGTGGAATGTGGATGAATCTGTATGTGTTCATCTCCGATTATCTTAATCATCTGGCTGTTTTGTCTACTGGGGAATTTCGACTCCCTCAAGCCACTATTCTTCAATAAAACTACATAAAATCTTTAAGAAGCACTTTCGTACACTTTCTTTTTCAGTACCTTTTTCTCCTGGTGGCTGGTGTTGCCTTCCAGGGTATACTTATTTCCTAAAATGTGCATCAGGCCAGGGGTTACAGATAGCACTCAGCCTATCTGCTGTGGCTCTACCACTGCTCACTGTTGAGATGAGGTGTTCTGTAAGGCTACTAGATATATGCTCTTGGTATTCACACTAGTTAACAGCCAGATCTAGACTGTACCACTCTAGGAACTATCATGGAAAAAGACAGAACCAGGGAAGTTCTTTGGTTTGTGCTTGACAGTTTTTAAAAATGGGGTTTGACGGCCACCCATTGCACTGTCTCCAGTAAAAGACCTTTTCTACAGACATCCGATAGGGATCTGGCCACTTCTTTGGATCTCCCCACTCTGAATTAACCTCGTTTTTTTTAGTAGAACATGAGAGATCCTTGCTACTTATTAGTTTCTAGCTGCTGAGATGGTAGACCTTGGAAAGTTCCTCACCATTGTGCACGACACTGGTAAGAAGTAGGGTGGTGGTGACACTATAAGTGTAGTATAGGTCACTCCTCAAACAGCTAAGGTGCCCTCCTTTGGCAGCAAGAGCCTATCCAGTTGAGTCGAGATGAGCACACATCATACAGACTGGTAGTGCTCTAACCACACTTGTATGCAGATGATTGGTTGGTTATAATCTAATTCTGACCATCCCTACAACATTTGAGGTTCATTGTCTTTCTCTCTGCTTCCTTTCAGACAAGATGTGGTGTGCCTCTTAGAAAGCCCTGCCATCAGCTGTCACACCCATTTGGCTGCATTCTGAAGAGAGCTCGTCTTAGTTTAATTTTTTGCACAGTCTTCTCCACCACTTCAGTGTGGGATTATAGCTATTCTGTGTACAGAGGTGAGGTATCATCTTGAGAGGTAACATTTTCCTTACTTGAAAATGTATTTCCAATAGATAATCATCTTCACACACCTCACCTGTCCTCCCCAACTTCCAGTGCATTGTCTACGAATGAAGTTATCTCGAGTGCAAGTGCTTAAAGGGAGTTACTGTTCAAGAAGATTGTGTCACCCACCTATTGGTGGAGGCTATTATTGTGTGATGTCATCATGATCTAGTGTAGTTCATGGTTAAACCCATGATTTTTAGGTGGGAGTTAGTTTAAGGCTAGTGGCATGCAAATTTCATAGGCAAACACGCAAGAAATAAAGCTATCCTGTGTAAAGAGATGAGTATCCATTGGGAATACATTTTGAAGTAATGAAAATGTTAACTTTTAAAATTATTTTTAGTTGAATTTTTAAATTTAATATGCAGGTGTGAATTTCATGTCTGAAAATTTCTCTGTTCTTTAGAAAGGGATAAACATTGGGTCACAAGTTTTAATAATTTTGGCAAAAAGAACAAAATCCATCAGAATGACTAAAACAAAGGTTCTTTACTTGAAAACATTAAAAGCACAACCTTTCAATTGTTTGATTTATTTTGAATCATACAGTTGTACACAGGACAAGTGATATTTTTATTGGTATTTGTGTGTGCATACTTTTTAAAACACTTTATTTGCAAGTATGGTAAAACTGAAATTGAGAAGTACTAACTTTAAATTTAGATGTCATAAAGTTTATTACTTCTGAGTAAAGTATTCGTATCTACTTTTTTAAATTTTAGTCTTATTTTGATCCTTCTTTCAAGTACATAACCATTTAAATTTTTAAGAACCCTGTATTCTTTTCATTTTCCCAACATATATTTAATTAAAGGTAGATTCAGGGTTTTTGACCCTACAGCGTACATCCAGGAAAGAGACAAGAAAATAAGAGAGACAGACTTACAAAGGTAAATCACAAGAAGAAGAATATATTTTTTAAAATGACAGAAAGTTTGGAAATTGAAATATTTTAAGAATTTGTAGAAATTAAAAACTTAAATAACATTTAATAACAATATTTTTAGTATAATATAATAAAAATTACAAAAGTATTAACATATTTTCAGCAATCTTCTATTTTGTAAATATTTTTGAGCTAATATAGAGTTGTAAGAATGTCGGTAAAAACTCAACTTAAGAATATTTGTGACTTTTGTCAGAAAGAATGACTTGAAGAATTTACAAATAATAATTACTTTACAATATGACTGATTCTATATGATATCTAAAAACGTTTTAAATATTTCACATTCATAAATATTCAGAGCAAATTTAATAATGTGTTGAATTAAAAGCTGATTTGCAGTCAAATTATTATGTGGTTACAAAATATCAAGGTCCCAGTTTTCAGAACATTACAAGACCACTCTAAGAAAAAGTAAATTTTGAATTGTGTTTAACTGCTTTTTTACACATTTGCATGAGGAAACAAATGAAATGTGTCATTTATGGTGCTTATTTAAATGGCTTATCCATGATAAGTAAAAATAATGTGTTTTCAAGTTCTCTTAGCACTATTGTGTCAAGTTTGTTGTTTATTTAACTCTTTCAGCATGGGCTCAGTCCCTGGGATCGACCACGTAACCACTTTGGTAGATTATAAGTAAACATTACAATGTTTTCATACCAAAAATATGAATTTTTTTATTGTAACAAATTTATTATTATGTATTTATTTTTAATATGAACCTTGTTTGGATTGAATTTGTATTTAGAAATAGGTGTCACTTGTAGTATCAAGTATGTGTTGCGTATAACAAATTTGTGATATATTTATTTTAATGTCAACGTTTATTTCGAAAAAGTTTATATTTGAGGCCGTGTCTAGTTTACTGTGTTAATTACGTATGGCGAAATTCACATAAAACTACTTTTTATAAAAAGAAATTCCTACCATTTCAACAAAAACCTGTACTTGTTTGAAATCTTCATACAGTTGGGCTAAAACTTCATCAAAATCATCAAGGCCTGTCTGCCATTTTTGTAAAAAAAACCTGGTCATATTATGTCCGATTGTTGGGGTTTGAAAAAGAAGAAAGAAAAGGAGGCAACACCCAGTGCATTTGTGTCCACATGTGGATGTAGTTTCATCAGTTCACCCAATGTTGTTGATGTGGCCACTGATATAAAGGCTGGTGTAATCAGGGAAGAATTTAGACCTTTTGTGTCTGTTGGTTCTGTCTTTGGCAAATGACACTGGCAATCCCATACCCATACGTATTCTATGCGATACTGGGGCAACTCAATCATTGTTGTTATAAGGTGTATTGCCTTTAGATTCGAGTTCTGCCTCAGGTGAGTATGTTATTGCTCAGAGTATTGAGGGTAACTTTGTTAATGTTCCTCTTCATAATATTTATTTAGCATCAGACCTAGTTTTGGGGCCAGTTGTGGTTGGGGTAAGACCTACTCTACCAATTAAGGGTGTATCATTGTTCTTGGGAAACAATTTTGCTGGGGGAAAAGTTATTGACAAACCTAGAATGGTTAACGAGTCGATCACTGTTTCATCTAAGGATGATGTTGTAGTTGAGGAGAATCCCTATGTGTTTCCCTCATGTTCTGTGACTCGAGCTCAGTCTAAGAAATTAAGCCAAAAACAGATGATAAGTATGGATTCAGAGGATGATATTATAGATTTGTCTCAGACATTTTTTGGATCCGACAGCGATCTTGTGAATGATCGTCCTACTGACAATACCTCGGTGAGTGACAACGATGGACGTGAAGGATCTGATTTACCTAGAGAAGTTCCATTTACTAAAAGTAAGCTGATCACTGAACAAGAAAAATATTTGCAAATCACCTCACAATTTAAATATGCGCTCCCAAAAGATGAACTGGAGAAAATACCAAATGGTTATTTTTTTCAAAAATGGTGTGCTTATGAGGAAGTGGAGACCACCAGATGTGCCAGCTTCAGAGGACTGGGCTATTGTTCATCAAATCATTGCTCCCAAAGCATGTCCTTCTGAAATATTGAAAGTTGCCCATGAACTCCCCATGGGATATCATTTTGGTGTCAACAAGACAGGTGAAAAAATAAGGGATATTTCATTTGGTCAAAATTAGGCAAGACGTTTATCAATTTTGCAAAGCTTGTCATACCTGTCAATTGGTTGGAAAGTCTAACCAGAGAGAAATAAAAACAGAAAGAGAGAGAGAGACAAAGAAAGAAAAAGACAGACAGAAAGAAAGAGACAAATAGAGAAAGAAAAAGACAAAGGGACAAGGAAAGAAAGAAAAGAAAACATAAGGCTGTTAAATTGCAAATTATTCATTGTGAAGATATGGTTTGAAGATTACCCATATCATAAGGTTTTCTAACATTTGTGTCAGTGTACTTTCATGTACTATACAATTTTGTGATGGTGATTTGAAGTGGTATAATCCTTTAAATAATGTATTACATATAATGCAATCTTGCCAATGTGTGTGTGTGTATGTGTATATATGTGTCTGTGTGTATATATATATATATATATATATATATATAC